TGCCCCTTCGGATCCCTACATTTGTATCTTTGGGGTAAATACCCAGTAGTGCAATTGCTGGATCGTAGGGTAGCTCTATTCTCAGCTTTTTGAGGAACCTCCATACTGTTTTCCAGAGCGCAACCCGTCCCTTTTGTATTGAAGTCTAGGATATAAAATTGGCCTCACGGATCATGTGAGGGTCTCAGGTTACAAACTGTATTGTCTATGGTGGTGTTTTTCTAAAGGCAAAATCTCCAGTGACTGTATTTTTTATAACTATGCACTATGAGTTGACTCTGAAAATGCATGTTGTCTAAATTGAACACAAGGTGCAAAATTAAGTACGTAAACTGCCGTATTTACAAAGACGGGGCGTGTTCCCCAGTGGGCATGGCCTCTTTGTGATTACCTTTGAGGCAGAAACTTTCTCCTGCAGCAAATGGACAGTTTCATGTCTGTGGGTACGAGGCAGGGACACATTTCCGTCTTCCCTGATTGTCGTGTTGGGACCATGAGACACTCGGCCCTCGCCAGAAAGTTCCGTGCATGTCATCTTTGCTTGTGGCCGCTGAACGCAGAACATCCAGGTAAGGACTCAGAGAAGATCCTGAGGAATGAGGATGCCACGGTGCAGTTACAAGAGCCTGGACCCCTGAACCACGTCACCAGTGGGGGCAACCAGGGAGAGCTGCCTGGTTCCCGGGTGATGGCGACCTGACCAAGATCCAAACTTTCCTCTCTTAAGCCACTGAAGATTCGGAGGTTGATGGTATCATAGCAGGCCAACCCAGTAGGTCGGCCACACTAGATGAGCCTGACGTGTTGTGAAAGCTCTTTGTGTTGCAAACGGTTTCTCTGATTTACTGGTGTTGCTTTCAGGAGAAGCTCCATGCGTTAATTCTTTCTGTGTTGTGTTTTTCTATTTTTATTTTAATTTTATTGTTGTCCCAACACTTCAGCTGAGATCTAGCCTGTTTGACTTTTAAGTGTGCAATGCAGTACTGTTAACTTTAGGCACTAGGCTGCACGGCAGACCTCTAGAATTCATCTTGCATAACTGCCACTTTCTACGCGGTGATGTGCAGCTCCCCATCTGTTTTATTCCCCAGATCCTCGCCACCAGCACGCTGCTGTGTTGCTTCTGTAAGTTTGACCATTGTAGATACCTCCTGTCAATGGAATCCTGCAGTGTTTGTCCTTCTGTGAGCGACCTAATTCACGTCACACAACGTCCCTCCGGTTGATCTGTGTGGTTGCATTTTGCGGGACTCTCTTCCTTTCTTAAGATTGAAGGGTGGTGAACATTACTTTAAAAAAAAAGCCACAAGTGTTCAGAAGGATGTAGAGAAAAGAGAACCTTCATGCAGTGGGGAAATGCAAACCGGTACAGCCACTGTGGAATACCGTATGGAGGGTCCTCAAAAAATTAAAAATAGAATTACCATATGATCCAGCAATCCCACTTCTGGGTATTTGTCCAAAAGAATTGCAGTCAGTTGGGGCACCTGGGTGGCTCAGTCGGTTGAGCATCTGCCTTCGGCTCGGGTCATGATCTCAGGGTCCTGGGATCGAGTCCCGCACCGGGCTCCCTGCTCAGGGAGGAGTTGGCTTCTCCCTCTCCCTCTGCCCCTCCCCCCAGCTTGTGCTCTCACTCTCTCTCTCAAATAAATAAACAAAAATCTTCAAAAAAAAATAAAAATAAAATAGTCTTTGAAATCCCTATAAACTTTATAACCTTTGAAATCCTTAAACCTGTATTTCCTGTGCATACCTTAAGCACTCTGTTGACTCTGGTGCTTTAGGTTTGTTAATCAGATTTTAGTCTTAGAAAAAGATCAAAAGACAATGTAATGTCTTCAAGCCGACTTGTTTCCGCACCCTTTGAAATAAGACCACGTAACTCCTGTGTAATATTTACAGTTAATTCATGCGATTCGTGATTCTTACGCTTTTCTTTAAAAGTCAGGGTGGAACACATTCAGTTCCTGCCACACATCAGGACCTTCTGCGGGAAGATCTGAGGGTTGTTGCCTTTCAGGTTGAAGGCAGCAAGCGTGGTGTGAAGAGGTTCGGAGAAGAGGCAGGGTTGCAGATAATATTCAGGAGAGGACGCGTCTGGCGTTTTATCAGACAAAGGGAGATGCCCTGGGTCGGGAACTGCTGAGAGAGAGTAGTGGGGGGATCAGACAGACCATGTGTTAGAACTGGTCTCAGGGAGACCTGTTTCCAGCCATCG